TTTTTTTTTTTTTTTTTTTAGTGGAACTGGGGATTGAATTTAGGCCCTTGCACTTGCCAGGCAAGCAAGCGTCTATTATACTGAGCTGCCTCCCTGACCCCTTTTCGTTTTCTTTTTTCTTTTGCGGAACTGGGGATTGAACTCAGGCCCTTGCACTTGCCAGGGAAGCACTTATTCCATTGAGCCATCTCCCCAGCCCCTTCCCTTTTTTTTAAAGGCAGGGTTTTTTTTTTACTTATGTAGTTCATACAGCCTCATTCTCTTGGGTGCTGAGATAATAGGCGTATGCCACCGTGCTGGCTCTTGCCACTAAAGTGTTTAATGATAGCACAGTGCTTTGAGAAAATACTGTTAATGTAACCATTCCTATAGACATTTCATTTAGTCTACCTTTTTTGTACTTAGGTGTTTACCTGTTTGTAAAGATGTCCACAGTATATAAGAATACTAATTCTGCTCTACTATCAACCTGCAGATTTCAAAAGAATATTGTTCATTTTTTTATTTCTCTTAATTCATTTTTCATTAACTTTATTGAGAATCAATAATTACATAGCATATTAAAAATTATAGACAAATACTGAAGTGTGAAAGAAGATGTAGGCAGAATGGATTTTAGAGAAATATTTCTGAAATGAATACATAGTATGAGATTAATAGTAGTAGATTGCACATTGTAAATAAGTTACAAAGTTAAATGAATATAAAAGATTGTCCGATATAAAAATGAAGAATGTACAGATCAGTCATATAATAGCTTACTCTATGCCAAAATCAAGAAACTTATATTTGTATAATTACAATTCTCAAAGTAGAAAGTCTTAGGCAATAAAGATTTAAAATTTGTGAATTTAGTTGAACTTATAACAGCACATCAAAAGAATATTTTTAAAAAATATAGGGCCGGGGAGATGGCTTAGTGGAATAAGCGCTTCCCTGGCAAGCGCAAGGGCCTGAGTTCAATCCCCAGTTCCACCAAAAAAAAAAATAAATAAATAAAAAAAAATAAAAAATATGCTTATATTTAAACACTCAGGGGCTGGAGAGATGGCTCAGTGGTCTAAAGCACCTATTTGGAACAAGCTTGG